CCTGCAACCCCCATCCCCACAATCCCAGGTAGGACATGTGTGATATTCTTCCAGGAAACTCCCAGCTATCTTAATGTCTTGCTGGAGGGAAAACCAACCTTAACTTGACAATGGCAAGGCCTCCAGTATCCTGTGAGTCTTTAACATATGAAAGTTCTTTTGAAAACCTCCCTTTTCCTTACCTCCCCCAACTCCCAAGTATATGATCAGTCACCCCTCACAATCCCAGGGCAGCAGCTCTTTCTGCCCAGGGGTTCTGTCCCCCGGCTTTAATAAAACCACCATTTTGCACCAAAGACGTCTCAAGAATTCTTTCTTGGCCGTCGGCTCCGGACCCCACCGCACCACACCTCACCTAGATTCCAAAACCACATCACTTATAACTTGCGGCCCATTGACAGATACTTGGGACAGGCAGAGTGACCATCCTCCAGGAATTCAACTGCCTCGATGTTAATACTTTGCTAAGCGCAAAAAGGATGTATGGCATTAGCCAGACCTCCAGGATCCTGCAAGTCTTTAACATATAAAAATCCCTTCGGAAACTCCCTTTGTCCTGACCCCCAAGATATACGTTGACAATCATCCCCCAAGCATATGGCCACCGATATATATCTGAAGGGTCTCCTGACTAAGGTTTTAATAGACAGTAGTAAATGACTCCTCAAGGTCCTGGAAACCTTGCTTCCAAATTCCTTAGAGACTTGAGCTCTCCCTAAGCCCCACTAATTAAAAAAGTATATTATCAGTCACCCCTCCCAACCCCAGGGCAGCTCTTCTGCCCACGGGTCCTGTCCCCGTGCTGCTTTTTTGCACCAAAGACATCTCAGGAATTCTTTCTTGACCATTCACTCTCGAACCTCAACATTTCACATTAGGAATCATCATTCTGCTTTCTGTCTCAGTGAATTTGACTACACAACGGACTTCTCATGTGTGAAATCATGCAGTACCTATCCTTTTGTGACTGGCTTATTTCCCTCAGCACAACGTCCTCCAGGTTCATCCATGTTGTAACAGGTGTCTCCTTCCTTTTTAGGGCTGAACAATATAGGAACTGATGGGAAATGTTGGGGTTCAGAGCCAACGGCCAAGAAAGAATTCTTGAGCTGTTTTCTTTTTTCTTTTTTTTTTTTAAAGATTTATTTATTTATTTATTTGAGAGAGAGAGAATGAGAGAGAGCAAGCACATGAGAGGGAGGAGGGTCAGAGGGAGAAGCAGACTCCCTGCCGAGCAGGGAGCCCGATGCGGGACTTGATCCCGGGACTCCAGGATCATGACCTGAGCCGAAGGCAGTCGCTTAACCAACTGAGCCACCCAGGTGCCCCATATTCTTTTTTTTAAAGATTTATTTATTTATTTGAGACAGTATGGGTGCACCCATGCACGCGCGCGCACACACACACACACACACACACACGAGGTGGCGGGAGCAGAGGGAGAGGAAGAGAAGCAGACTCACTGCAGAGCAGGGAGACCGACACTGGACTCCTGGGATCATGACCTGACCTGAAGGCAGACGCTTAATCCACTGAGCCACCTGGACACCCCAGGAACCATATTCTTTTGAAAGGTGATCATAACCTCCTTTCTTTGGGTTTTTATGACTTTATCTTTACTTGTTTTCATCCCTGATTCTAATTAATAAACCATGCATGTTTCCTCCTTGATGATTACAGATTTCAGTGTTTCAGGTTTTTATTTTTTTATTTTTTAAATAATTATGTTTTTTTTTTTTAATTTATTTGTGAAGAGAGACACAGCGAGAGAGGGAACACAAGCAGGGGGAGTGAGAGAGGGAGAAGCAGGCTTCCCGCTGAGCAGGGAGCCCGATGCGGGGCTCGATCCCAGGACCCCGGGATCATGACCTGAGCCGAAGGCAGACGCTTAACGACTGAGCCACCCAGGTGCCCCGTTTCAGGTTTTTAAAACAGAACCTAGCCCTCTGCTCTGGGTCCTGTCATTTTTGCCCTGTGAACCAATGTCATGTGCATTTTAATTACCCCACTACCGAATCTATAGGAAAGCTAAGGAATCAACAGGTTTCAAAAGTGGGTGAGAGACGGGGCGCCTGGGTGGCTCAGTTGTTAAGCATCTGCCTTCGGCTCAGGTCATGTTCCCAGGGTCCTGGGATGGAGCCCCGCATCGGGCTCCTTGCTCTGCGGGGAGCCTGCTTTTCCCTCTCCCACTCCCCCTGCTTGTGTTCCCTCTCTTGCTGTGTCTCTCGCTGTCAAATAAATAAATAAAATCTTAAAAAAAAAAAAAAGTGGGTAAGAGTAACCAGAAGGACAATTCTCAAAGAACAATCTTTTTTATTTCTCTATCCCCTTCCTATCTTTGCAGCTGGCTCCCAGGCAAACCCCCCAGGACATGGCCAACGGTCTAGATTTAACTCCAAGAACTCAGTGACCTCCTGCAGGCAGTCCTCTGAAAGTCAGCAAGATTTTGTGTTTTGTTTCCTTTTATTTTAGCGCACTTACCCATTGTTTTGTAAATACCTCACATTCCAGGCGATTGAAGACTTCTTGAATCAACAACTCAACCTCTTTATAGACAAGACCCATTGACCATCTGAATTCCTAGCTGAATTAAAAAAAAAAAAAAATGGCGGTGTGAAAACAGGGAGAAATGTAATGCCACATCCCTCTCAGATATTCTCGGAGGGATAAAACTTAATTCATTTTTCATCATGGCTATTTCCCTGCAATCCTTATAGACAAATGTAGCCTCTCAATCAGCATGGCAAAGGACCTATTTCCTTTAATCCATCAGCTGTGAAACAGGTTTTTATGGTAGGCAACTTAAGTCATTTATTTTCATAGTTTACACATTACACAATGACTTAGGACTAGGTGCCAAGAACTATGGAAGAGCCAGATCAAATCCAACAACCCTTCAAGTACTAATCCCTAATATTAGCCCTTAAATGCCCTTATAAAAGCCTACCCAGCTGCATTATCCTTTTCCTGAAAGCTTTCTATGTGTGGAGTCCAGCAGGAACCTTCTAAGGTGGCGATGCCAGGACTTTCTAGAACCATGGGAAAGTGAAGGAAAGACGGTGGAGACAGGACTACTTATCTCTCACTGCTTTCCCCAGGTCACAACCTAGTGATGCAGAAAAGTCAACCTGTTTTTCAAAAGGCAAGTGTTCACCTTCACCACATAGATTGGAAAGAGAAAGCCTGAGTTTTTGATGAGGCTTGGTCACGTGTCAGTGTTAGATGCTAAGCTCTCAAATCCCAAGAGAAGCCACACAAACACCACAGCCTGGCCAGTGGTTCCATCTTGCCTGTTGTGCTCAGAGCCGACAACTGTAATTATTTCAAGATTGCACCTAAATCTTGTCCATCCTGTTCTTGAAGTACTAAGATTGGCTAGAGACAACAGGGAGGATGAGATTGGGGTTCATCTTGAGGAACACACATACACACTCTCTGTCTAACCCTGAGGATTAACTGCTCTCAAGAATTTGTCATCATTTGCTATTTACCTACAAGCTGAAGAGGTGTGTTTCTTTCACGTTGGCCGTAGGAATGCGTGATGTCATCTTTTCTCTCCCATGAGAGCACCCATAAAGTGGGTGAAGGTGGCCACTATTAGTCTTGTGATTCTTGCTCCCATTTGGATAAAATTAATGTCTTTGCCTTGCTTTTTCAGAACCTTGAAGTCTATACTGACTGGCTACAAGTCATAGAAAACCCAACTAGATGTGGCTGGAAGCAAAGAGGGCATTTATATCTTACATAATCAGAAGTCTAGATAGAGACCAAGTTCCCCCAACTTGCCAATGGTGTAATCAAGGGCTCAGATTCTTTCCATTTTTCCACTTGGCCATCCTCTACTGTGCTGGCTTGTCCTTAGTTTGTCTCTTCACAATGCAAAAGGGCTCAGCTGCTCCAAGCATTACATCCCTAGGCAAGAATTTTCAAAAGTCTTTTTTTCCCCCCAAATCCTTTTTTTTAATTGAGGTGAAATTCACACAACATAAAATTAACCTTCTTTAAAGGTGGCATTTGGTATATTCACAATGTTGTGCAACCACCACCTCTCTCTAGTCCCAAAATATGCTCATCTCCCCCAAAGGAGACCTCCATTCCCACTAAACAGTCACTCCCCATTCCTCCCTCCCTGATCCCTGGGCAACCAGGGATCTACCTTCTGTCTCTAAGGATGTGCGTATTCTAGATATTTCATAAAATTGGAATCATACAATATGAGGCCCTCTCTGTGGCTTTCTTCACTTGGTCTAATGTTCCCGTGGTTCATCCACAACGTGGCTTGTAACAGCATGTCATTCCTTTTTATGATATTCTATTGTATGGATCCACCACCCTTTGTTTATCCATCAAACTGTTGATGGACATTTGGGTTATTTCCACCTTTTGGCTATTGTGAATAACGTTGCCATGAACGTGCTTAGACATGTATTTGTTTGAGTAACTGATTTTCAATTTTGGGGGGCATATACCCAGCAATGGCATTGCTGGGAAATTTTCAGAGAAGTGTCCCTAGAAGGTTCCCCCTCACATCGTACTGGTCAGAACTGTGTCACTGCTCCGTACCTACAGCAATGTCTTGGCAAGGAGAATAAGACCACCATGACTGGCTTAACCTCACAAGATTCACACCCTTGAGCTGGCTTTCAACCCAGTGACCTCTGAAGGACACGGACACTGGGAGGAAGGCCATTTGCAGAAGGTGGTGACTGTGAGCACGGACACCATGACGCAGGTAGCAAGTTCTCTGCCAACCACTCCTCTCAATAATATTAGAGCAAATCTATATCCCGTTCAAGGGTGTGAACTTCTCTGTTCTAGCTGCCAAACAACCTTTCCTTCAGGGATTGTCTGTTCTATAAACAGTTGTCTTAATGAAGAAGTGTGGGAACTAGAGTCATAACAAACAGCCAGAGGATCAAGGGCATGTGAAGTAGAAGACCTTAAAAATACTAGAGGAAGGACCCTGGTGGATCCAGAGTGTGCCTTGCCTGTGGTACCCTTGGAGAGACCCTGGGGGTATGCTTCAAAGGAGAATGTGTTTCATTGATTTAATTGTCTTCTAGATTTTGGTTTGTGTACCCAGATTTGCCTTTGCCTCCACCACTGTGATATGGAAGTCGTCTATTCCTCTATTCCACAAATGTGTGTTGTGTACCTACTATGTGTCAGGCAGTATGCAAGACACTGTGGAAATGAGAGCAAGCCAGAGACACACAGCTCCGGCCCTCACGGGGCTTCCAGTGTGGTGGACGAGACTGAAGCTAAACAAGTAATTGTGCAGGTAATTACTTAATTCACGTTATGATACATGCTACGAAGAAGAAAAACCCCAGGGTCCTATGAAAGTACAGAAGAGAGGAAGGATTCCGATCAGACCCTCCCTGACAATAGGCCTGTTAGGCTGCAAGTTCTCCCCTAATGTGGTGGCTTGGGGAAAGCGGTTACAGCAAGATGTCAGGGAGGTCCCTTAATAGGCCAGCAAGGCCAAGGGCAGACTCCAGGGACACTATCTGGAGCACAGTGGGCATCTATTTGTTTTCAGCTTAATGTTCATGAGAAAAGTCAAACTAAGTTTGAAGACGAACGATTGTTTTATACCCATAAATCCCAGAGCAGGGAAGTTTTAAAAACTGAATTGGAATCCCTTGTGTCACTCTTCTCTGTGTTCTGCTGGAAGAGAAGTCTGTGGCCCAAATACCATGTCTTGTCCGCATTCTGGCTACAGCTGATTAGAACAGTTATTGGTACCCATGCCCGGGGATCATCCATTGGCTGACCGGCAGCCCCTGAGGTGGCCTGGTATCTAAGTTTTGCTTAGAAAGGCACTCTATTCTGGCATATTTGTTTCCTAGGGCTGCTGTTACAAGTTACTACACACTGGGTGGCTTAAAACAACAGAAATTTATTCTTTCACAGTTTTGGAAGCCAGAAATCTGAAATTGAGGTTTTGGCAGGTCATACTCCTTCCAGAGATTCTAAGGAAAAATCCCTCTGTGCCTCTTCCAGCTTCCGGTGACTCCAGGCATTCTTTGGCTTGTGGTTGCCTCGCTCCACTCTCTGCCTCTGTCTTCATGTCACCTTCTCCTCTGTGTCTCTCCTCTTTGTGTGTCTACTATAAGGGCACTGTGATTGGATTTGGGACCCATCCAGGTAGTCCAGGATGATTTCATGTTGTTGACCTAAATTTAATTATATCTGCAAAGACCTTTTTCCGAAATAGGTCACATTCATAAATAAGGTGCCTGGGGTTAGGCTGGGGAACATATCTTTTTCGGGGTCACCATTCAACCTACTACAATTGGCTAATGACTATTATACCCAATGATATCCCCAGCTAGAGCCTTCAAACAAGCTCTCAAGGTCCACTTGCAGGAGAGCGTATGGTAATCAAGCTTCCAAGACTCCAGACACATCCAAAGGAGGTGCTGCATGTGCTAGTCTGCCTTTCCTTAAAGAAAATAAAATTAGGGGCGCCTGGGTGGCTCAGTCATTAAGCATCTGCCTTCGGCTCAGGTCATGATCCCGGGGTCCTGGGATCGAGCCCCGCATCGGGCTCCCTGCTTGGCGGGAAGCCTGCTTCTCCCTCTCCCTCTGCCTGCTGCCACCCCTGCTTGTGCTCTCTCTCTCTGTCAAACAAAAATAAAAATCTTTAAAATAAAAAATAAAGTGGCATTAAGTACATTCACCATGTTGTGCAGCCATTTCACCCTACCCAGTTCCAAGACGTTTTCATCACCCCCAACAGAAACTCCATACCCACTGAAAAGTCATTCCCCCTGCGCCCACCCCCAGCCCCTAGCGACCCCTCTAATCGGCTTTCTGTCTTTATGGATTGACCTGTTCTGGAGATTTCCTATAAATGGACCCAAACAATATGGAACCTTCTGTGTCTGGCGTCTTTTCATTCAGCATCGTGTCTTCAAGGTGCATCCACATTGTGCCATGGTCAGTGCTTCACTCCTTTTTATGGCTGAATTGTATTCCGTTGTACAGATGGACCACATCTGTTGATCCATTTATCATTGATGGGCATTTGGGTTGTTTTCACCTTTTGGCTGTCGTGAATAGTGTTGGTGTGAATATTGTGTTCAAGTTTTTGTTTGAACACCCGTTTTCAATTCTTTTGGATATGTTTGCAGGAGTGGCAATGCTGGGTCATATGGTACCTCTATGTTTTACCTGTTCAGGAATTCCCAAACTGTTTTCCACAGCGGCTGCACTGCTGTATATCTCACCAGCAACATAGCAGAGTTCTGATCCCTCCACTTGCTTGCCAACCTCCCCTCCACCCACCATGAAATGCTAATACCACACATACACCATGTATTTGTTTATGTACCATGACCCTATGGAGGGCAGGCTCTGTGTCTAATGGAAATATTTGCAGGGGGTCACAGACTCAGAAGCCTGCAGGAATTTATAAAAACACTGCTGGCTCACGAAAAGCACATTAGCCAGCCCTTTGGGCCAGTGGGCTGCCATGTTGCTGACCCTGATTGATTTTATTTTATTGAAATGTGTATACAGTGGATGTAACATAATTCAGGCAATGGATCCCCTTTCCTTTTAATGGGGATTCACTTTGTGACAGGTTTTCTGCCACGAAAAAACAATGCTCTAATAAATATCCTTGTCCTTGAGTATTAGTGTTTTTATTTCTTTGGGCCAGATTCCCAGGAGTGGGATCATTGGGTGAAAGGGTATGTTTAATTTTAATTTTAACAGACGTTGCCAGATAGCTTTCCCAAATGGCTGTAAGCACCACATGCGGGAGAGCGCCCTTTCCTCCACATTCCTGCCAGCATTTGACAAGATCTCTCTTCTCCATTTGTGTCAGTCTCATGTCTTATTGCTTCTTTAATTTGCATTTTTCTGACCACTGTTGAAATTGAGGGTGTTTTTGTACATTTGCTAGCCATTTCATTTTGCTCTTCTATGAACAGTCTATCTATAATCTAAATCTGTTTCTGTAGTGGTTGTTTGTCTTGTTCAGGTCAATTTGTAAAGCTCTTTATATAGCGTCCATTTGGCCATTGTTTTCTGGATAGGGCTGCCAAGGGTCGCATCGGAACTCAGGCCCTGACAGGCCATGTGACCTTGGCCAATTGTTTAACCTTGTTAGGCCTCAGTTTACTCATCAATAAAGTAGTGATCATCAGGGTGTCTGGGTGGCTCAGTCGGTTAAGCATCTGACTCTTGATTTCAGCTCAGGTCATGATCTCAGGGTCATGAGATCGAGCCCTGCATTGGCTCGGTGCTGGGCGTGGATTCGGCTTGGGATTCTCTCTCTCCCTCTCCCTCTGCCCCTGCCCCTCCCCAAAGGAAGAAAAAAGAGTGATCATCATTGTCTTCACCATTCCTGCTTCATAGCATGCTGTAGACACAAAACTGTTAATACACGTAGAGTCAACGGAATGGTGCTGGGCACATCATAAGCCAATTCCAGTAGCTGACAGTTATTTATATTACAAATATTTTTCCAGCTCCATCACTTGAACTTGCCGTATTTATGGTATCCTTTGTCACACAAAACATTTTAAAGTTTACATAGTGAAATATATCCATCTTTTCTTTCCTGGCTTCTGAGTTCCCTGGCTTGGTTAAGATCCCCGTATCTCTTCCGTGATGAACTTCCCTGCTCCCATAATCAGAGGCACATAACTAACCATTTCCTTGATTTATTTCCTCCTCTTCTCCCTCACCCAGTAGGATGAGACCTTTAGAACAGTTTCACTTCCTCATCTTTCCTTCCCCATGTGTGTTTCCTACTGAGACTCATGACACTCTTTATGCCCCACCTTGCTCTCTCAGTTTTGGCTGAGATAATCTAGTATATGTAAGAATTCCCTTGGAGGATCTTTGCTTGGTTTTAAGAGTCCTTCCCTGTTCCACAAATCCCAGTGTATTCTGCTCCATTTAGATTTAAAATGTCACATGTGGGGGCACATGGGTGGCTCAGTCGGTTAAGCGTCTGCCTTTGGCAGGTCATGATCTCAGGGTCCTGGGATCGAGCCCCGCATCAGGCTCCCTGCTCAGTGGGGGGCCTGCTCCTCTCTCTCCCTCTGCTGCTCCCCTGCCTGGGCTCTCTCGCTCTCTCTGTCAAATAAATAAAATCTTTAAAAAAAAAGTCACATGTGTACATTTAAAAAAAGATTTTATTTATTTATTTGACAGAGAGAGAGAGAAAGCACAAGCAGGGGGAGTGGCAGGCAGAGGGAGAAGGAGAAGCAGACTCCCTGCTGAGCAGGGAGCCCAATGAGGGATTCGATCCCAGGACCCTGAGATCATGACCTGAGCCGAAGGCAGACGTTTAACCAACTGAGCCACCCAGGCGCCCGAGTCCCTATTCACTTTTAACTCATGAGTTTCTTAATCTTGAAAATCATGTATTTCAGCTCTGGAAAGTTCATTATGTGCTGTATTTGGATTTGCTGAAGTGCTCTTGTTTATAATTGTTTTAAATTCAGAAGCATCTCTGTCCACTTCTGTCTCTGGGTGCTGGGGCCCCTTTAATGGGCTGTTATTCCTCAGGTCAGCTCGCTGGGGCTGAGGTTTCATCGTTGAGGCCTCCCTACATTGTGCAAGCTGACAAAGAGCCTCTGTTCCTCTGTATGAGTGATCTGCTTTTACTCACAACACTTCTGACAAATGTGTGGGTTTTTTTCTCCATACTAACCGATTCTCCAGCTCTCTGGGTGGGTGTCCTAGAATTCAGCTCCATTCTGACACTAAGTACCTGCAGTTAGCATTAGACCCCACAAGTTCAGGGCTCAGTCCTACATGACTGTCCTGACAGTTCGGATACCAGCTGCAAGTCCCACATTGCAACCTGTACTTCTGACCAATCAGCTCTGAATCAGTGGCTTCCATGGCCCCTTCTCATGTTGGGCAATCTGCAAGGGTCTAGAGCAGAGAAGCTTCTATTCCTGTGAAGTTGGGGTATACCAGTCTCCAGCATACGGATGCTTTATGACCCAGATGCTCTCTGGACCTCATTGTTTAGGGTTTTTTTTTTTTTTTTTTAAGATTTTATTTATTTATTTGAGAGAGAGAGAGAGCATGAAAGGGGGAAGGGTCAGAGGGAGAAGCAGACCCCCGCTGAGAGGGGATCCTGATGCGGTGCTGGATCCTGGGACTCTGGGATCATGACCTGAGCTGACAGCAGGCGCTTAACTGCTTAAGCTACTCAGCCACCCAGGTGCCCCTGTTTAGGGGTTTTTTTGGGGATTTCATCACAGAGACATGACTGACTACATCATTGGCCATTGGTGATTATCCTCC